TCTTATTTTTTGTTTCTCTTTTCTTTTAATTGATAAAACTAAAATTCTAAATTGAATTATAAACTAAATTAACTCCAAAAATACTAATTAAACTCCTAACAACAATTATTATACACAATTAAACACCAATTAAAATAAAATTGCACAATTTGACATTAAATGCTAACAACGCAAAAAATTCCTATTTTTGTGATTTTCATTTTTGTAAAACAAACTTAATTACCCCTAATGGTAAACTTGAATCCTAAATGCAAAATGCCACATATTTTTGTATTTTTTATTAATTTAACAAATGGACATGCACATACAAAAAAAAAATGCAAATAATACATGGAAAATAACATCAAATTCACAACAATTGCAAACAATAAAAAAAAATATTTTATTTTAAATTTTTGAGAGTAATATATATAAGGCAAAAATCACATGCTCAGTTATGGCCTATGGGTCTTGTTTGGGGGGTTACCTCACGTGGCTCTGATCACAAAGCTCAATAAAAAATGCAGTAATTTTTTATTCCCTGTGAATGTATCAGGGAGAAGTGGTCATGTGGCTAAATAACCTCACCCATCCCTATAAAGTTATTGTTTGGCTTGTTCTGATAATATTACTAATGCATCGGGAATAGCTAGCCGTACAACGGACTTTCATAACAGTACTATGTGATGAGAGGACCCGAATATCAATATCACCATGCGGACACCATGTGACCTCCACGCTTCACTATAAATAGGCTTTTGTTACTTCTAAGACTTTTGCTGATGTACTGGCTTAGAGTTTTTGAACAATGTTAATACTATATGCGCAAGGATTTACAATGATATAAATTTTATTGTGCAACCTCATATGTACTTGCCTAGGTTTCTGAGAATGGTAATTAGTTTGACTGCGCGAGACTTCACAGTCGATAGGATTTAGTTGTAAACTTTTAAGTTCCATTCACGGATATCTTAAATGGAGAAGTAAAACCGGATAAGTGCTTTGCAGGTATTGAAGGAGTAGGTAAACTCGTCTGAATAAGGAGATTTTAGCAGGGACGGGCAAAAAAGGAAGAGTTTTAACCAAGTCAGACAATGGTATGGAAAGTGTAAAATAGGCAACCATTCTGTTAGCATGATTAAATGCCTTGAGATTCTCGTGACAATTTTTTGAACTTCGTTAACTCCCTGGTACTAGAATAGTCTTTTTGTAATTGAGCTAACAGTAACTTTTGTATTATTATGCATCTTCTTGATGCCAGCAATGAAATCTATTATTACTTCATCAAAAAAAATGTCTTGAGATGAAGTCACTATTTGGCGAGTGTAAAATACTCCTTTTTAATTTTTGCACTCCTATTATATCTTTTCCCTTTTGGTGTAAATGCTGCATGATTCCTATGACTATATGACTTCTTACAAATTTTTCACTCTGCAGGATTTTTGTTGCAGCTGATTACATGCAAGTGACTTGGAAATGTAAATCCGTTACTTACTCTTTTAGTAATAATAGTGGGGAATCAGGATAGTGATGATGCTGAAAAGCAATGTATTGGCTTAAACAACACTGATATTACAAGAAAATATATCCAAATGTCCTGGTAAAGTTGGGAAAGTGTAATCTATGAACTAGTAAACTTCTATCCTACAATATACTGATGGTACAGATTGAAGAACTAGACTTGTAATCCTCCTTTATTAATTAGTAGTGCCATTCAAGGGAGCAGTGACACGTAGAAATGTAGTCTCACTACATGGGATAGCAAGGCCCCCCGTTGTATAATCAAATCTGTATTCTTCCTCTGCATGCCTCAACAATTCTTGAAACAAAGGATGCTTCAAACAAGAGATGGGTACCACGAATTGGTGCTTATTATTATGGCTCTCTCCAACATAAACTGCCATGTGACCCTTGGGAACATCTGCCAACTTTGATGAAGTGTTTGCAGTTGATCTTTGGTGGAGAAAAATGCTGTGTTTAGCATGATCAAAGATTGTCTTCAGATGAATCCTCATGTCGTTGAACGTCTCTTCAACGTTTAGCTGGTAAGAATGCTGCAAGAAATTGAAAACTAGCTTTAAGTGTATGTAGTGTGAAGAAATAGGCTTATGGTTTTTGCAAATGAGTTGGCTGACTTATATTCTTATATATAGGGATTGGCTTTAGTAGTAACCAAATAGTGTGGGACCAAACTTCACCCTAACAAAACATCCTCAACTTGATGCTGTAAGATAGAAGAATTTTCTTTTGATTTAACAATACATATATGGCCTAGCACATAGTTTTCCTGCTCATAACCGCGTATCTCTACGTAGACTCAGTTGTCTCGTCAATTTTTTTTTTCCTTCTATTTGATAATTTATTGTTTTTGCTACTCTTATCTTTTCAGATTTCTGATTTAATCATGAGTCATATTTGGGGCCTTTGTTGTTTTGTTGTAGTACTGGAATGCAACCATTTTCTCTCATCTGCTTCTCTAATTTCTATAAATAATATGAAGTTTTGATATATCAAAAGGTTTTGAGAAGACTAAGAAGTCAACCAGATGAGATTGTTGACTGCAATCCTAACCTTCCAACAACATTTTTAAGCAGATCACACATTAGTGTCTTGGTCCTGGGACCAAGCATAGCCCACTGCGTAGAAATATCAAATTATATTTTGTTTGATTAACAGTATAAATGTAGTAAAGAGGCAGGATTCACTATGAGAAAGCAGTATTACTCAGGAGCATGGTTAATAAATTCCTGGTAGAGAAGGAGTATAGAAGTTGAAAAAGGTGGTACAAATGGTATCTATTGTTTCCGTTCGCCTATTAACTATATGCAAACTATCTATGTATTTAGCTTCAGAATTTTAGATCACTGCTCTATCTTCCTCATTCAGTACTTGTACCAAAATAACGCTTCAGAATACATTGGTGATGAAGCTAGCAGTGACCCTCGGCTTATTTTACAACTCCACTCGCACACAGTTTTCTATTTCAGGCACTGTGGAATATCTCTTTTTTGGCCCTCAATGATTCAATCAAGATTGGTTCATTTCTTGCTGTCACAATGAATAATTTGTTGGTCATCTTGAAATGTCTGTCCTACCAATTTGCGCTTATCCTTTTTAAAAGTTCTTCTCAAGAGCACATGTCCTATAGGTACAGGTACAGGTACATGTGATTCTGAGGTCGTTATAAATTATCCAGACACTATTTTTATGCAGGTTGCTATATGCATCCAATATTCAATCATTGATTCTGACATATAAAAAACTATTAATTTGATTACAATTTTAAGCCTATATTAAGTATCTTAAGATTATTTGATGCTGATATTAATACAAGGATATCCTTGGTGTTGGTTTTTCGGCTAGGTTTATTCTACCTGAAATTTGTTCATGTTACTGGGGTCTCTTTCTACATTTACTTCTTTGAATACTAAAACTCTTTATGCAAGCAATTCAAGCTAATGGTGTGCTTGATCTGGTTGTTCTATTAACTTCTATCTTATTTGCTATCTTTGCCCTGTGTAGCATGTGACAAGAAGAACTTTTTCTTAATCTAATAAGTCTTTCATCAATCTATTATCTCTCTCTGATTCAGTTAGCTTTTTCTGGAAAGCAGAGAAGATCTTAAATTCTAATTCAGTTACAGCACTAAATGTGAGCGCATCAGCTCCAATTTTAGTGGGCAATACTTGTGCTTGTGGATAAAACAGATTTCCCGGTGGATTAGTCGAGGTGTACACAAGATGTCTAGGCACCACAATTGTAATAAAAAAGATACATAAACATTTCACAGATAAAGAATTTGGCTATCCGTCATCTAAAGACAACAAATAATGGTAAAGATTTCATTTATATGCTTTGCTTGAAGGCTGTTTACATACGTTTACAACTCTTGCCTAGTAAGATGAAACTAAAATTGAAAATTCTAAGCTACATAAGTTTACGCAAGGAATTGTTAGACCACCCATTGGATGATGAAATCCAAACACTTCTTCTGCTTTCCGTAACAAGTTCTGGAACAAAGGATGATCGAGGTATGTTATTGGCACCATATACCTTTTCTTCTCTCTCTCACCTACATAAACCACAAAATGTCCTTTCGGAACATCTGAAAGACTCCTTGTTAGAAGAGACTGCAGTTTGTAGATTTGCTTGGCACTGGAAATCATTGGTAACAAACGAAATCCCATGACTTATTTTCAACTTTAATAAGTAAAGAGTATTACAAGAAATTGAAAGCAAGCTTTAAGTGATATGTGTTCTATTAAAAGAAGCTTTTGCTTTTCTGCATATGAGTTCTCTGATGTATATATAGTGATTGATTGGAGGAGTTAGTTTGATCTATTTGTAGTATATCCCAACAGTGTGGGACCAAATTCGCTCTAACAAAGCATGACAGTGGACTCAATTGCTTTACATTATTGTAGTAGAAAGCTCTGCTTGCTCCCCAACTTGCAGCTGTACGATAGAAGACCTTTCTCTTTAAATTATTTGACAATACATTTATGGCTTAGCACATAGTTTTCCGACTCAAAACCGCGTACTTCTATGTAGAAAGTTTCTCCTTTGTACTATTTTTTCTATTGATTATTTATTGTTTTTAATACTCTTATCTTTTTGGTCGTCAGACTGATAATACACGTACTCATGAAACATATTTGGGGCCTTTGTTGTTTGGTTGCTGATTCTCTAACTTCTATTGTGCCAAATTGATGGAAGTGGCAGCGGCTCTAGGACTTTCTTTAAAAAAATTATTACATAGGGGGCAGCGGAAGGGAAAATGGGGAGGGGATTACAAGGTGAAGAATCGAACTCTCACCAACCAGGTGAAAATTCAGGTAACCAGCCAACTGAGCTACTAAGATTCCCCACAGTGGCTCTAGGCTTATTTTACAGTTCCAATCTTCCCCATTTTTCTATTTAAAAGTTGGGCATTGTGAAGTTT